TAAAGCTAACAATGCCCAGCATAAATATGCATATATTCGATCGCCAAATCTCGGCCATACCTGTTCTAATGCCGCTAAATGATAATCCAAACATCAATAGCTGAAATTGAATTTTCACTAAATACTTTTCAGCAAACACTTTACAGTAAAACTTGTGTACCTTTTAAAGTAAATATAATAACGTACATCCTTTTAAAACAAACACCTGTGGTTTTAAAACACACATTTTTTTAAAACTGACTAACTTTTACTAACTTTTATTGTTGACTTGATTATACTTCTCCTGTACCGCCTCTTCGAGTAGATTTTTTAATTTATAAGTTCTTGCATAAACGTTGTTTTTAACCATCCATATAATCTAAAATGGATAGGTCGGGTGATGGAGGAGGCCCATGCAATTGGCCCACCTCTTCCTATCCCTAAGTTTGCATAATTATGATATAAATAATTTATAACATTTCTCTCACACGCGCGAGTCTCGAAATTTATTTTTTCTAACATGTCTTGAAAACAGTTCTCTAAAAAGCGTAAGTAACGTTCACCGGTCAACGTATCCTCGAAAATGTATGGACAAGAATAGTTGAATAAATAATCCTACACGCTTTTCTTCATTTGAAAATTCATATTTACAATTTTTGTTTATTTTAATTTATAAAATTTGCATGTGACAGTTTGACATTTCTGAGAGCAACGACGATTGAACTTATTTCCAGGGTTAACTAAAATTATGTAAAAATGATACGAACTGGCTATAACTCTTAGTAATTTTTCGAAAAAAAACATATATTAGCTTATATTGCTGAAAAGGTCAAAAACGGCGTTTTTTATGAAGACATGGCCAACTATGGTTTCCATTTAAAAAAAAACATATGTTTATGTCATATGTCAAAAATGACAGGCTTTAGAAAAAAAACTGAGAACACAATTTCATTAAGGATGTGATTCTCTACAACTTTTATCTGATTTTTTTTTGTCTAAAATTGATTATAATGGAATTAGGGACAATTTTTAAAATAGCCGAAATTTGTTTTTTCGAAATATCTAGTAAGCCATGAACTTCTTCAAAAATCTGACGCATAAGACGCATATTTATGACCCCACAAAACTGCAATTCTTTCCCCATTTAACCGACTCTCTATCTTCAGTAGTTTCCGTGATACCCATAGAGAATATCGCAAAAAATCACCCTGTATATTAAAAAAGTTTCAAATCTATTTCAATATATGTATTTAACGTAGAACATTGTGAAACATACTGACATATTATGTAAAGTAAGATATTAGATCCAACAAAACTCCAGAACACAAAGACTAGTAAACTATAGTATTGAATTTTATCTATTATATTTTATAAATATCTTTTTAAAAGCTAAAGGCCACTGTGACTTCTATAATTCTTGTTTGAACATAGGGATTTTTATTGGTCGATATAGAGAATTTTCTCGAAAAATCGGGTTTAAAGGGAAGAAAAATCATACGAGAAGAGCTTCTTGAAATTCGAGAAAAGCACGTGTACACAAACGGAGTGTTTTCAAGAAGGATTTGTTTTCAAGAAGTAATTGTAAATTTTACCTTGTTAAAATAACAAATTTGTTGTAAAAATGTTATCTTTTTTAACATTATTTTTATAATTTTATATCTATTTAAAAATAGTCTTACAACAGATAAGCACAGTTTTTTCACAATAAATATGTAAAACTTGTTAATAATCACTAGGAAATCCTAACAATTGTAGATTGTAAATTGTATAAAAAGGTTAGTAGGAAAGTTAATCTATACCCCCCTTCTTGAGTTATAACTAATTTTACTGTCTCAAGGGCTCAGGGCTTTGACAAACACCAGTATCTGATAGAAACAAAGAAAAGAAAAATAGTAAAAAAAAAAAGAGAAAATAATAGTAACGAGATAAATCACCAGTGGGAAGAAGAAGCACGGGATGGCTACGAAAAAGATAGAGGGAAAATCTCTTACAATCGATTAAAAGTGTAGGCACGGTGTAAAGAATGGATAGTCCATATGCAATATTTTCTATTCACTGACCGTAGAATGTAGAATGTTTAGGAGGGGAGTTAATCACCGCGACCTTATAGATCTATTGTGTGTTCCCCTTTCTTGAGTTATAACGAGTACGCATCTTTCGATAGCGCAAATTTCTGCCTGAAGGATATTGTGGTAGGTGCCCATTGGTTCGGAGTATTCAGTTTGCGACCCAAATACTCCTATCCCTGTCCCTGCTTTGGTTTTGGAAGCATCAGTATACCACGTGATGGTATGGTCTTTTATATGCTGAGTAAGCGTTTCTTTCTTCCAATCCTTTTTATTACTCAATACTACAGTGAGGTGTTTCTCAAAGTTGTAAATTCTTGGTATGTCATCCACTGGGAGTTGGAGAAGTGGAATTTTCTTTTTGAAGGTGTTCCAAGCCCCTGACCTGAAAATTCTCCCAGTACTGTTTCCGTCAGTAACCATTCTAATCATTGTCGCATTGGCATAACTACCGACGACAATGTGCAGTAGTGTTAGGTCTAGAATGACCTCCATTGCTGCTGTTGGACATGCTCTCATGGCACCTGTGATGCAGATACATGCCAGGCTCTGTACTTTGCACAGGTTTTGCCTTGCTGTACGTTGCTCTAGTTTTGTATACCAAGCAACTGCTCCATAAGTAATCATGGATCTTACTATCATGGTATACATCCAGCGCAAAATGTTAGGCGCAGCCCCACCTATTTCCCGCCAGTCTTCTGCATATCATGAGAGCCTTTGTGGCTTTGCTGGTAATGTTCTTAATATGCCTGTTCCAGAGAAGTTTACTATCCAGGGTTATTCCCAGATATTTCACTTCCTGTGATGGCAGTATTTCAAACTTCGCTTTTTTGGTGAATGGCACTACTGCGGTTTTATCTGAGTTAATACTCAGCCCGACAGTCCTGCACCATCTCTCAGCGGTGCGGAGTCCTCTTTGGATAATATCACACAGGGTGCTTTCATGTTTCCCCCGTGCTATGATAACTATGTCATCTGCATACCCTATGCAGTGTATTCCCGCTAGAGTTAATTCTTCCAGTAGTTCATCCACTACCAAGCTCCACAATAGGGGGGAGGTCACTCCACCTTGTGGAGTTCCTTGCTTTATTTTAACAACTACAGTTTTGGTACCTATCTCAGCCTCTGCTGTTCGTGTGGAGAGCATTTCCCAAAACCAGCGAATTATCGTACTGTTCACCCCTCTTGTTTCAAGAGATCGCTAGACCACCTTGTGAGGTATATTGTCAAACGCCCCTGCAATGTCTAAGAAGGCACAAAGTGCTGTTTCTTTGCTATCTAGTTCACTGACCATAACTACTATCTGGTAGACCTATTTATTCAATTAATTCTTCCACAATACCCCTCTATGACTTTGAAATCAAATTAATCCTGTCTTAACATTATAATGACACTTTTTAATCACCACTAATTCGACTAACGCTATTATTGAATTTTCTAAGCTTACGCTCAGCTTGGGGGACACTTTTGGTGTCTCCCAGGGACGCAATTTTATAAGGTACAAGCCGGCTTTAAAGAGTAAACGTTAGTGAGCATACGAGGCAGCATTTTCCGCGGTTTTCCCGTCCTGAGAGACTGCAATTACAAAAATGGTCGGGCTAAATTTCCACGTTGGACGCTTAACGTGAATTATTCAGCTCTATTTTCGCATGGAAAGGTCTTCATACTCTTTGAGGATAAAGAGACGGTTTAACAAGGTTAGTTCTCCATCTCGGATATCAGTCGTACCAAAATGTATGGCACGAATCTCCGAATCTCCTCTCTCCAAAAGTTCTTGGCGCACTCAATGAAGAGATGTTCTGGTGTTTTCCCCTGTTTCTTCAGAATCTCCATTCGCCGATATTTCTTAGCTTCAATTTACTGAGATGTTCATTGAGGAGGCAGTGTCCTGTTAAAAACCCCGTGACAATCCAAAGATTGTTGAAATTTCTTTGACTGTCTGGGACCGTTTGAAGATTCAGACATTCTTGAGTTCTGCTTTAAGTTGATTTCCACTTCGGAAAACAAATAGACATGATGCAATCAATAAACATCTAAGTATAAATCTTTAGAAGAATCTTTTGAGAACACAAAAAATTATTGCTAAACTAGGAACTATCAGTACATTCTGACATAGCAGATTTAAATATTAATAGACTCCGCTCAAGAAAGCCACCACTCTCGTCAAAAACACTTGGAAATACTGACGAGAATGCAGAGTTGCAGAACTTATATGATGCATGGATGAACAAGTGGATGGAAAACGCTCCACCACAAAGTCAGGATTTCATATGTATTTCAGCAGTTCCTCCTGGTTTTGAGCAGCCTCGCAAGATGTGGGTAACTTTAAACAGGTTGAGAACCAAACATGGCAGGTGCATGGATTCTCTCTATAAATGGGGAAAGGCCCCCACTCCGGTATGTAATGTGGAGCTCTACGACAGACGGTTCGACATATTAGAGAAAAATGCGCTTTTACGGCGTATGAGGTAGATTTTGGAGATTTCCTGTGTGTGAAGGCAACACCAAGTGTGATTGATTATATAAAAAGACTAGATGTTTGTTTGTAACAAGTTTGTTTTGTAGTATATTTTAAATTTTCCTTTTTTACATTTTGTATTTGACATGTCCAATTTTTGTTCGAATCTTTATTATTAGTATATTTACAGCTGTGATAATAACATGTGATTTTATGTGTACTAGAGCCATACGCTAAATAATAAATAAATATAAATCTTTAAATTACAATAACTAAAAAGTAACTAACTATTTCATTCATACTAAATCTCTTTGTACTATTAAACATACTTTGAGAGTAATTCCGATAACATTAAATACCATACTGCAATGCAGAAAACAAAATCTATAGGTTGAATCCAAATTTAAAGTCTTTAAGCCGATTGAAAAATCCACAGGCGTCACTCTTCTGGCTTTCTAAACACTCTTTTCCTGCTTAATTATATTTCTTTTTTGCAGCTCTCTAAGTCTGGTGCGAATGCTGTCACTCTTAGAGGCGTCCACAGACAGCTGACAGGAGATTACAAGTGCGAGGTGTCTGCGGATGGACCCTTATTCCACACTGACATTCTGGTGGCCAGGATGATCGTGGCAGGTCAGTAATAAGGAATTTTTAATCGATATAATTAGATAAAATATGAACTACGAGTTTAAACACACACAATAATTTGCTGATTTTGTTGAGTTAAAAATGTTATACAAGGGGAGCCTCGAGCATCGCGTCGTCGTGGGGAACTTCTATGTTTAAAAGAAAGGTTACTATACAGGGAGGTCCAAACTTTTTTCCAGAAACTTCGGCAGCATATTCTGCAAATAAAAATAAGTAAAAAAACTCGTATAAATGTATGTCCTAAAATGCTTAGTTTCGGAGATGCAGGGTGTAGAAGTTTCATTTTTATTTGATTTTTTTTTCCAAATAATTTCTGAAGTAACGTCAATATTTGGATGAAAATTGATGTCTAGGTGTTTTTTGACGTGAAAAAGTTGATTTTTATGTCAATATGACTCGTATTTGTAGAGGGCGCCACCTGCATGTGTTTTGAAGAGTAATAACTTTTCGTCCGTATCTGTGTAAAAGTACTGAGTGAAAAAATAAACATTTCCGTGACTTTTTACGTAAAAAATGTCTTTTGGTAAAAATCCCTACGAGTAACCGTTCTCAAATTATTTAGAAATAGTCAATGTATGTTATTATTGACAAAAAATAAACACGTTGAGTAGATAGTTATTTGACTGAAATAATAAATTCGAGAAATATTTATTTATTTAAATGTAATAAAACAGTTGTTGTTGAACTTTTGGCAACAAAACAATTCAAATTTTTGATTTTAGTCCAATAACTATTTAGTCAATATGTTTCATATACATATGTCAATGATGACAGGTATTGATAATTTCAATTTCAAATATTGCGAGAACCATTAAGCTTGATTTTCATGTATCCGTAATCCGACGATACGATGATACGATATTAATTTTATTGGTTGAATTTAAAGACTTCGATTGGTTAGAAACATTTAACCAATCGAAGCCTTTAAATTCAACCAATAAAATTAATATCGTATCATCGTATCGTCGGACAACGGATGCATGAAAATCAAGCTTTACTCGTAGTAATTTTTCCCAAGAGACCTTTTTTACCTAAAAAATTTCGTAAATGTTTAGATTTTTACTCAGTAGTTGTGTACAAACCTGTCCCACTTTTTGTCAAACGGAAGATGCTGCAAACGAAATTTTCATAGCACTCTTCGTTTCTGACCTACAGGGTCTTTTCAAAAATTTGGCAATTTGGGACAGCCCCCGTATCTCCGTTATTGTGGACGATATTGAGAAGGCCAAAACTGATTCTTGTAGAACTTTTTACGTAGTAGCGTAGTCTGTTTTTGTTCGAAAAAAATATTTTTGAAAATATTAACTAAAATTTTGTTTTTCAAATGGATCATAAATCTTATATAATCCGTCCTGCTATGAGCTTCTCAAAAATATATATCACTCTATATGTATGTTCACTGTTTACTGCAATATTTAAAATATATCATTATCTTATTAGTAGGCCGTTATAAATAACAAAAAAATCAAAATGGTATCTGCTAAAATAGTCATACACAAATTTCATTTGGGATTGATATATTTTACTTTTGAACTGTTACCACTGAATCTCTAAATATTTTTTTCTTTTTTTATAACGTCTGTCCAACATGTAAAGGAAGATTTCGACAGACAACATCCAAAAAATGAGAGAATCCTATTTACCTGTGAATTAAAATGACAGACACTACTGTCACTGTCATGAATCCTCTCGTTGGACAGACCATAGTCTTTTTATTCAATGGATTACATTAATTATGTTTTATCTGCTCAGAATGACGTACAAAAAACCGTGCTATGCGTCTTAATTTTCATTTTAATCATTTTTTTTACTTCTTTTATTTAGAATTGCCGCATGATGATCCTATAATGAGTCTACGGGATACGAAAGTAGAGATTGGAAAGAAAATTCAAGTGGAATGTTTCTCAGCAAGCTCAGACCCGGAAGCTAACTTGACGTGGTTTATCAATAACAAAGAGGTGAGTTGAAAATGATAATTTTTTTAACTTTTTCTAAAATTTAGGATAAATACAGAGCAATCAACAATGATTGAAATAGTTAGGTGATTTTAGAATTCTTTAATTCTTCCTCAAAATTTAGAAGTTGACTTTGTTATTTGTGAAAGCAGTTAAAAAAATATTATCTTTCGAGTGTTCAACATGAAAAATGAATACTTACATAATCACGGCTTGTTTTTATCTCGGCGTTCAAAACAAGGTTAGAAATTGAACGTAATCGGCAAAGAAACTTTGTATTAGAAAATATTTTATATTTTTTATTTCATAGTTATATTTTCAAAATTAAAAGCTAATGGTGCGTCCAGACCTGAGGAGTCGAGTGCGAGACGAGCGCGAGACATTCCAAATTTGCGATGTTTTTCAAAGGGTGGAGGGCGACCGTCTCGCGAGACAACCCACGGAGCCTCGTTGTCATCCGTACCCTGTCGGTTTTTCGACGGCCGATCAAAGAAAGCTTGCGGCCAAGTCTGGACGTGTTTTTGGTAGGCTCGCTCGACTCGGAGATATTAGGGGTTTTCGGAAAATGTGATCTGGTTGATCGGATTGATAGGATTACTAATCCAGACGTTCAAAAAGTGATCTCAAAACGAGTCAATGCGTTCGGAAAGTGATCCGAATAACTCGATTTTTGCCATATGTTGTGATCCTACTAACCCTCCTAACGAGGTGGGTAGAATTAATCAGCTGATCATTTCTAGGGTAATTTTAAACGTAACGGTCCGCATAGAAGTATAAAGTTTTTTAATAACCGTTTTGTCCGAAATCACTTTATCTAATGTTGATCAAATACATGATATTTTGTTAGTGACCGTAAAAATGAGCCAATCAGCATAGCATCAAGTAACTCTAGATTTTAAATAAATAAAAAACCAACAAGTAATTCTAAAGATACTGACTGCGAAAAAGCACTATCGGAGACACCCAATAGGAAAAAAATGAAAACTCAACTACAGAAAAGTGGTTTAAAACATTTAGATTAAAATAGCCAGGCATAATGAAAGAATGGAACTTGATAGACAATTCTGAAAATTTTCATCACAATTGGTAGATAAAAATTGATATATTTTTTTATTATTAATATGATGGAATGTTTATTATGTTGGCAGTAAATAAATGATTAAAATAAAGTTTATAGTGTTTTTGTTTTAAATGGCATAATTTTAAAAAAGCCTAAAATAAAACACATTTTGTTTTTATAAAAAATAGTCTTACAGAAACTAAAAAGTATACTTAAAGCAAAACAAATAGGATAAAAATAGATCTTATACAATCGTTAAAAAGGGATATTAAGATTATTTGTTTAATTTATCTCTTTTTACGAAATATATTTAAATGTGATTGTTAACCCGGTTAATCTAATGATCCAACCGTTCGTAATTAAACTACCAGCTGATTACTCTCAGCACTGATCTTGGAACAGCTGATTAGTAAACTACCTAATCTAGGATTTTATTTCCGAAAACCCCTATTGAGATATTAGCTCTGATATTATAGTGCATATTGAAATGGAGACTTGGACGGAAGAAGATCAGCTGAAATTAATCGATTTATATAAAGAAAAACCAATATTATGCAATCCAAAAGATAAAGAATATTAAACACGATGCGTGAGTAGATATTTCACAATCGATGAATAAAACTTGGGAAAAATTTTAATTAATATTGAATCTTGTTACCTAGTAAATTAAATACACAGAGTGAGCCAACGATAAAGTTCATTATTTTATTTGTTTTGAGAATTATTAAAAAGTGTTTTAGAATTATTAAAAAAATAGTAAAACTGTAGAGAAAGTTAAGATACACATTTTAAAATTATGATAGAGTATACAGGGTGGTTCAAAATAGTGTTACGAATATAAGATGGTTTTTTAAATGTAAGACACTATTTTTTTTTATTTTTAGATTCTGCGTAAAATTTTATAACTTTTTTATGTATAATGCGAGGTATAATGTTATATACCTAAAACTAATAGTTTTTGTAATATTTCAATTTGCTTAAACAAAAAATGTTAAATTTCAGTGTCGTAAAAAATTGTCAATCATGCTATTGTTTATGAAGTTGAAGTGCTAAAATTTGTTAGGATAGTTTTATAGGGACGAAGAAAAAGATATAGGTTAAGATATTCGAGTTAGATGCTACAGTGTACATATAGGCATTTATGAATTTCGACTATTTAAAATTAAATAATCTCAAATTTTTTAAATGGAACACCATATGTATTATCATTTTTTTAATAGAATTTACAAATTTTGCGTCACTGACACTTTTTACCGTACCGAAATCTAATATTTCTTTAAACAAATTGAATTATTACAAAATCGATTATTTTAGATATATAATATTATGACATGCAAAAAAAAATTACCGAATTGTACGTAGAATCTAATAATAAAATAAAAAATAGGGTATTAATAAATAATTAATTAAAATAATAGGGTATTCCCATTAAAACATACCGCGTGTGAGATAGTCAGAGTGTTATTTTTTCTCCTCGAATAAAGTAAAAAAAATACCGAGGTGCCATTTAAAAATCACATGTTGTAGTCATTTCCGGTGAAACCGGAAGTGGCCGAAAACAATTGAATATGTCAATCAATCCTAATTTATGTAATATACTAGCATACCAAATCCCGTTTTTTTTATCTGAAAAAATAAAAAAGTTATAGGGGTGAGCCATTTTTGAGACGCACCCGGTATATCCGTAACACTTTTTGAAGTGCCCTGTATACTCTACAGTATTGTTCAAATATGCCCAACCTTTCCTATAACTTTTCTATTGAACATTTTGTTCTAAAAAACGGATTTTACGCCGTGTGTCTCGAACAAATGAAGGGTAAAAGGGGAAAAAATCGACGATGAATAAAATAGGACGAACCAAATATCATGTAAAAGATACAAAAATGTATTACTTATGCGTTATTATTTGCTGTAGCTTTTTCATCGGACATGTTTACACAAACCGGTCACCTTTCACTATGATCCAACTCGCTTGTCTCGCGGCAGGCTTGCGTCAAAAATGGATAGAAAATGTCTTGCTCTCGTCTCGCACTCGTCTTGCTCTTGCCTCGCTCTTGTCTCGTTCTTGTCTCACGCTCGTCTCGCACTCGACTCCTCAGGTCTGGACGCACCATAACATAAGTAAATTCTTCTGGCCATCTGCATGTTGTTTATTGTTTACAAATTTGGGGGTTTATGAATTATTATTTTTTTTTATTAATTTGCAAGGATACAGAGATAACGGCTAGGAGAGGGGTAGGTAGGTACAGTGACCAGAAATACTGCATAGGCGGGAACAGCGACACTTTGGAAGCCGTAGCCTCGGTTAAAAAATCGCGGTATTTTGTCACAGTATTTCTTTGGAACGATTGCTATTGTTATAACCCACAAAATTCTAAAAGTTACTGGTTTGTGGAAGTATGCTTTGGAATTAAATAAGACAATAGAAAATTTCACTAATGACTTATATTTAATTTACAATTATAAACAATGTAATTGGCTGTGACAGTCTCGATTATATGAGATTAGATATGCAACTGGAATACTTAAGTGTTTCTGCTTCGGTTGGTTGGGAGAAAGACCTCACCCTCTTCGCTGCACTCGTCCGCTGGTGGGTAGCGTGATTGTCCGGCTAACGTTGGAGAGCTTGTGAGACTCCACCAGTTTCAGTGCGTGAGTTACTTATGGGGAGGGTCAATTCTCGTATCTTCCTAGAAGATAACAAACAGGAGTATTCTACTCAACACAATTGATAAGTACCCAGTTTTGTGGTGGTGTTCTAAATTACCAATTGAACTGTCTGTTGGTTGCCAATGAAGGTACCATAAAAATAACTTATGATTAAACAACATATTAGTGATTCAAATAAACAATAATCAATATCTAAATCCAACTACTAATTATTATAATAAAAATTATAATTAAAATTAAAAAAAAAAGAAAATAGGCAATGACAGTTTAAATTAGTTATAATTGAAAAGATTGTCCAAATTATTTAAAGAATATAAAGAATATAAATATAGAATTATAAAAAATATATAAAAGAAAAATATTTTGCTCTCTCTCTCTCTCTAGAAAATTCCAGACCACCACAATCACTTCGGTACGACTTGAAAAAAAAATATATATTGTTACAGTAAATTATTTGATTTAATTTGTAGACACGTGTAAAAGAATAAAAAAAATATGTAAGATTAAAAAAAATAGAAATATAGGAAAATTTAAATTAGAACAAAAGTTAATACTAAAATGCGATATTAAAAGATAAATTAAAAAACTAGATAGAAAGATAAAGGTAAATAGAAAGATAGAGATAAGATACGTAAAACGATAAATGCTCAATTCGACAGATAAAAACTAAAAGAAAAGATATGTCACTCCAGGAACGAAGATAATGCATCCGCTAAATAAGATAAAGATAAGGTAAGGTAAATTTGGCAGATACGAGGTAAAGATACGTTCCCCAGAGTGACCCAAAAACAACAAAAAACAAAAATCTATCTGTCGAATGGCCTGCCAATAGACACCACCACTACAGGGTCCAGATAAAACAAGAGTTGCCTTCTGGCAAGCAAGGATTCGTTAAAGGTGACATAAGTCGTATAATATAAATATTATTAAAAAATCCTTACTTACCAGAGTCCCTCCTGGTTCGTCTCTGAGAGTACTCCTTCAGTGATTGATTCTGTTCATGGCCCCTGAGATTGCTAAATCGAACACCTCTGCGGGTTCCTGTTCGACAGCTTGCGTCTCAGTACATAAATAAGAAAGATAAAAATAATTAGTACTAAATAAAAGTTAAAGGTATTAGAATTTTTTTTTACAAAACTACCATACACGTGCTACTAAGACAAGAAGATAAAGAGATGATGAAAAAAAAAATAAACTGTGAGATAAAAAGATAAAATAGAAAAAGGAATTTAAAGTTACAAGCTAATTAAATAATTAAATCAAATAATTAAAT